ACAACAGAGAAACAAAAAGCTCCATTGCAGCAACTGCAGCATTTGAAGTGTAACACTGAGTTGCTGGGTAATTCCCACAAAGGCCAGATGCCTGAATGATGCTCAGCACTGTCACCAGCAGGATGCTCAGACCATCTATCTTCTGTAACAGACACTTGGCACAGACCCTAATAGTCTTGCATTTTGCTTGTTAAATAATTACAAATTAATGTTCTAATTTAATAATACTTTGATGAATTCTTGGCTTTTAAGGTCATTAGAAATAGTTCTGGTCACTGAATATGACCTCTCTATAAAATGGTCTAAAAATTAATGTAGCTACTTACTCCTGTGCCAGGATTCCAAATCCCAGTTTAAATGGAGCTTGTCAGCCAGAGTTACTTTTAATTATTTCAAGTAACAGAGACCTATTTTTTCCTTGGGCAGCAGTTAATCGTCCTTACTGGATACTGTAGCAACAGACCCTTTTAAAATGACTAGGCAAGGTAAGACGGTGTGCTTGGACCTGGTGTTTGGGGGCTGTTGGTTTGTGAACCGACAACTGGTTTGTTTCCCAGTATACACAGGCAGGTCTGACTATCCAAGCTTTCAGCTGAAGTTAGAACTGCAAGTGTCTGGATCTTGGTTAGCAGCTCTCAGCACCAAGATGAATTTTTCTTAGAGGTTAGATGAAGGATCTCAGTTCTGTGCTAAGAACAAAGGACGTTCCCCACAGAATTTATGTATTGAAGTGTTTCTTTCTGTGCAAGTTGCAGAGCTGTGAATGCAGAAGTGTTCAGGCTGATACACAGCCTGATGCTCTTGTGTTTGGTGAGGCAAGAGTATGGATTTGGTTAGAACCAAGGCTTTAATGTGGGTGCTGAACTTCACTCTCCCTTCAGTCCCATTAAAATCTCAACCGATCCTTTTTTTTTCCCTGCTCTAAAATTTCATGCAAGTTATTACATGAGTTTTATCCTGGCTCAAGTGGCTGTCAGTTGCCCACTTGATTGTGTTTTCATGATGTTTTTTCACCAAAATCAACATCCTGCTGACTCCAGTAATTGCTGTGGAGCCAGTGCCTGTGTTTCAAAGCAGGGATTTCTATTAAGAAAGTGAACATGTTAAAGTATATCAATAAAGGATGTCCTTTGTGCTCATTATCTTCTCACAGTACCTTCCTATTTTACACTTGGATACATTCACTTGAATATTTATGCAAACTAACAAATCTGTAATGAAGTCACTGGTAACTTATTAAACAATGCAGGTTGTCCTTCAAGCATTGCAAATTACCCCAAATTAAATCATTTAGATACAATATTATCCGTCCAGGTATCAGCTCTGACTTTTTCTGGGAATAGTAGGTGTGCTTTGGAACAAAACACATCTTGAGAGCAGTGGTTTTCAGTTTTCAGCCACGAAAAGTACATTCTGGTTACGACTGGACTGCTTGAAATGAAGCCAATTCAGCTGACCAAAGTCCACCTTTAGGAAATGGCTATGTTGCAATGTAAGGCAAGCAGACTTTTGTATCTTGGTATGTTCTCTCTCAGGTAGTCTGATACTGTAGCTAATTCTCTGTGTGGTAAACCACAGTAGTGGGGAAGTGGGCCAAACACAGTTCGTAGAGTTGTTCTGTTGATGACCTTTTCATAATAAAAATACAAGAGCTTGTTAAAAGACCAACCTTAAGCTGCCAGTGCTGGCCTAAATTTGGGCACATGGACTGTGGAGTTTGTTGTGCAAAGTCAAATAATCTTCACATAAACCCATGCAAATCTCATAAGCCAGTTCTAGTAGAATGTGTTCTGTACTCCATGTACTAGGACATGGGAATCTGTAGTAGTACGCTTTATTATCTTAATTGCTTTATACGGATACTAAAAAATCAGCATTTTCTCCATAAAGAATGTTCCTTGTCTGCATGTAATTGTTGCATTAGAATTTCGATTAAACAGATGTGGCTATGACTTCTTCTAGCAAATAGTTTCTTTCTAGATGTTGTTTAGAGAAACTTTCTGAATTGTCACCTTTTTACGAATACCAAGAATATTTAGTTGCAAACTGAATGCAGTAGGCATTTACAATGAGGGGTTGTAGGATGGTGGAACCCTATAGTGCTCTAGCTAGGACAGGTTACACACAGCACTGGGCTAGTCTGCTGTTCAGTCCTGTTAAGAAACCTATACTCAGCTTGTCTTCATCTTGTGTATTTGAACCTGTTTTCAGCAATATGTTCTGCTGCTGTGTCATTGGGATTTTGGCTCATCATGATTCTGCTCAGCCAATAACTTGGATTGTAGATCAGACAGAGCTGGGCTTTGTGATAGCAGCCGTTGAGCTGGGGTAGAGCAATATATCTATTTCTTTGTAAGTGAAAAAGGTGGTCGGTGCCTTTCCAAGTGGTGGGCAGGAGCCTTGGAGACAGAAATTTTACAGTTGCTGAATTTGCATTTGCATTGTCACTTTTGGATCGTCCCATGTGTGTTCACTATAGTGATGCTTCATGCTGGGGTATGTGCCTCTGAATTCCAGCTAGACTATTCAAACAAAATCCAAACTCCCCCTATAGATCTGTAACAAGATCACGTCAGTAGAAAAAGTAACGTACCAGGTTTATATGTTGATAATTCATCTGATGAATCTTCTCTTCATTTTTATTGAAGGGTAATCCAGGCTTTATAAGGGGGGAATTGGAAGCTAGACATATCGTTACTACTGACTTGTCTTCTTGAGCATGCTTTGGGAGACAAAAAGTAGAGCAGGGCACAAAGCAAGCATGTTTCCCTGGGGCTTTGCCGGGGATGTTCTGTGGTATCCACACATGGGGTGAACAGCAGAAAATTACAGCTTCATCACTTACTTATGTGCAAGAGTTACAACATCTGAGCTAGTGGGGAAGAGGGGTAAAAGACAGTGTGAGAAAGGTGGGAATTGAGAATAGCAGAGAACCTGAGGCAAAAAAGAAAAGGCAAGGTGAGGGATTTAAAAAGCTGTGTTTAAATTAGTTCCTTTCATAGAGCAGCAGCTTGGTGCGCCCCAGCCACTGATTCTCTCTCTACAGTAGGTATCACTTCTATTGCAAGGCACTTACTCACTGTGGGATTTTCCTGCAAGACCCCCTTTCCAACAGAAAGATACTGTGGAGAATTATACAATGAAATGAGTTTCCTTTTGCAAGCTGAAATAGGTCAGAAGTGGCAGGAGTGCAGAGAGCTGGAAGGATTCACATGGTGCAGGAGAGCACTAAGCCACAGGTGTGGAGCACTAGAAGAATTAATTTCTATGTATTCTTGTTTTCTTACCACTGCTTTGTCCTAAGGGAATTGTATTCAAATGTTACAGCTGAGGGTCTGTTAACACAAAAGGTTAAAAAAAGGAAAAAGTGTTTCCAGAAACACGAAGTGGAAAATTGAAGCCCCATGTTTAAGTCATGTCCCCAGCCAGAGCAGAACTGCCTCCCTGCTCTAAGCTGTGTCCCCAAAGTGGTGGTAGCTGCGTTGACCTCTTTGGGTTGTCAGAGCAGAGCACTGGCTCCATTAGTCCCATATCATCTGGCAACTCATGCTCTGGGGAGATCCCAGCGAGAAGCAGACAGTGCTAATGGGGATGAAATGGAAATGGTTTAGCAAAGTGGTCATAAGGGCTCTCTGCAGCATCCTTGGCTCTGGCCCCTTTTGCTGCATGACGGATGACAGCCTGAAAGGGAGGAAAAAGGAAGAAAAAAATAAAAGCCACAAAACAAGAACGAGGATGTAATAGCAGTGAGAGCTGTAGCAGATGAGATAGTCTGGTTCTTTAACATACAGAGCACAAATCTGAATCCTTTATCTGAGCCCCACATCGCTCTTCCCAAGGAGTTTGTGTGGACAAGGGCTGAACGAAACCTCGCTTTCCTGAACACCAGGTAAGCAGAAACAGTATTGAGATCACAGGGCAGAGGGTGATTCCTTCACTTGCCAAAGAAGAAGGTGCACACAAATAGAAATTGCAGCTAATTCCCTGTCCATGGCAGGGGGTTGGAACTGGGTGAGCTTTAAGGTCCCTTACAACCCAAACCAGTCTGGGATTCTATGATTCTAACAGTGCTGCAGGCTTGTAATCTTACCAGGTATGAAATATATCCCTTGCTGTTATATTTTGTCATTAACTTAGTATTGCAATGAAAATCGTGATGGAAAAATGCCTAATATTTGTATATTGTCTGATAATTAAATAGTGGAAAGATGTGTCAGCTCATTACTAATCATAATTAAAGCGGTTATTTCCATTCTCAGCTTAGATGTGTTTAATTCAATGTACTTGGCAAAGAATTGCCTCTTTTCTCTAAATAATTAGCAGCTATTGTTGCTGTGTTGGGGGCTGACCTCACATGGGATGCTGGTGGGTTTGCCATAGCACTAGTTCCACAAGCACCACACAGCATCAGCTCTGTTCAGCTGGAGGGCTTTAGTTTGGATAGGAAGAAGAAAACAAAGGCAGATTGTGGAAACAGCTGAAGAAGTTCATACATCTTGTGAAGCTTTCCTGTCTCTCTTGGGTTTGGCTGTAACTACTTTTGTTTATCTGGGGATGTCTTACTGTGCTTTTCTAAACTATGGTTAAATGGGAGGTGAAGGGTCTAAGAGGTTTTGATATGGCCTATGCCAGGGTAAAAGACTAGGAGATGTATTAATAAACCCACACTTTCCAAACACTTTTAAAAGGTTTTTATCTTTAAATCAGTTGCTGAAATAGCACCTCCTGACTGTACGTACACTTCGTACCCAGAGAGTGTATTTAGGACAGTGTAATGGTACAATCCAGAGGTTGTCCCAAGACAACGTTTATACCTGTGCTTCTTTGGCACTTCTGTGAAGAAGGAAGCCGCCCTCAGGATGTGGGCGTTGGCTGTTTACCTGTCCTCATCAGTAGTACCAGTGGCTGCCTAAGACTGCATTTTTCATTCATCTTGGAACAGAGTGGAGACTGTTTTGCTGGTTTGAGTGATACTTATCAATTGTTTTTGTTTTAACCAGCTAACGACGATTCTGATGTAGAGATTACAGATGATGATGGATCCGACAGTGAAATGCAAGACAGGCAGACCAGAAAGCAGCACACTTCCGTGGGAACACTGCTACAAGGTATCTGAACCTTCCCTGAGTTGCCTTTATTCAGAATGGTACACTGCGATTATGTGAGTAACCTACATTGAAAGAAGGCCCTGTGCCATTGAAGGGTTTTGGCACTGCTCAGTTCTCATGAGTTATAAGAGGACAATGTCTTGTGGAGAAAACAGTGCTTTCAGGGGAGCAAATTAAGGGTTATTTACTGAAAAAAGTACCACATGAGGAAAATCCTTCTTTGATATTGCCTTAGAGATTCCTGAAGTAGCTTTATACAAAGACTTAGAAAAGTAATACCATTTCTTATTGCAAGCACTTATTTCCCTTTAGCTGTTGACACTCATTCTAGTAGTCTTCTTCAAAAGGAGACCTTTAGTAAGTCCATAAAGCTACCTGCACTGACACAGTCATGGGTCATATAGGAATAACCTGAGTTATTCCTATATAACCCATGGGTCAAACTAATAACCTGAGTTATTCCTTTCAGGGAAGGACATCTGTTCATGTGGAGTGGAACTGCCACTTCTGGCTGCTGATTGCACTAGAGTCCTGGTCAGAAGCAGCTCAGATAAATGACCCACTAAGGGTCTGTGTTTCACTTAGTGGAGAAATAAATGCTGTGCTCAGTCTATAATCAAGCAAAATGAACCCAGGAAATCAGGTTAGTTGCTCTGGGTGATCTTGTTAGTGGTGAGTGATTCTGGCCGCCAGCAGAAGTCTTTCTGGGGTCTGGGTGGAATGCCTGGGTGTGTAGTTTCATGTGCCACTTCTTCTGCTGGGACCTGTTAGTTGGATATGGAACAATACTGCCAATATGTGTGGTTTTCTGAGCTGAATTCTGCTCTCCTCTCTCTGAGTGAGACCAGGGCAAGAAGCCAGAATTCTCATGTTAATATAATTCAAGCATTTTTTTATCCTCATCTTGAGAAGTGCTAGAAACACTACTATTCACTAAGGATTTTTACATTGCCATTTCTCAGGGAAAGGTTTGTACACATTTTCAGAGTTTTGGAAGTGACTGGGTAACTGTGTGATGCTTTATCTCAAAAGGCATCATGATCTCGTGATGTGGGTTCTGGCTGCAGTCAGCTCTTAATACCACTTTTAGGAGTGAAAAATTTTGTAATAAAGTTATATATTTTGTTGCTAGGATATTTGTTTCTAGGAATAATTTTGTTACCATTAATTACGCTTAGTGGAGATTCAGCATTAGCTTGTCAGACTTAAAGCGAGTGGTTCAAATCCCTGAGATGTTTCCTTTGCTGCGGTGTTTAGATTGCTTTCTATGCTTTTGTTAGGTCTCTTTCTAGTGTTTGGTAAACTACTTCGGGCAGATAATTATCTCCTGACTTTTGCATACCCTGAGCATGCTGTTTGCTACTACACAGTCACCATCTCAATCTTTACTCCCCTTATCTCTGTGTCAGTTGAAAGCCTCCCATAGCTCTCTGTCCTCTTTCTGTCTCTAACCTATGATGAGCTACTGAAGCAGCTCCAGGAGTGTTAACTGGCTCCTAGGATGCCTTTCTGACAGGTCCTGTGGAAGGAGTAAGGTTTTATTCCCCCATTCTAACTCAAAATACTGCAGTCTGACAGTGCTGTAATGCAATCTCTGCTGGCAGAGATGGATACAAACATCATTGGACTCTTAAGAAAAGGATTGTTGGCTCACTTTTCTGCTCTGCTGAGGTTACTCATCATCACCTTGGGCATCTACCCAGTAGCTCTAGCTGTAGCTACACTGTGAGGTTAACAGTGGGCTCTGTCTGTACCACTGGCTTTGATTCAAAATGTCAGCACTTATTGTTTAGGAAAACTCAACTTAGGGATATCTCTGCTGCTGGTGTTAGAGTGAGCTTGCTCAGTCCTGCCCATTCTTCTCTGTCCAGAACATAGGAACAACAGTTTGGACTGTGTCAAGACACGAGTCAGGCCAAAGCTCTCCTTGAGGAGCTCCAGCCTGATGCAGAGTGCACGCTACGTGACAAGCAGTTCTAGGCTGGAGAATAGGCTCAAATCTGCTCATCTCCACCTCTGTAAATGGGCTTTTCTGGTCCAGGTCTGTCATTTATGGTGAGGTTACGTGTTTGACTTCATGACCCTCACCAAATGAAGTGTTGGAGACCTGTCAAGACCCAAGATTCATGTTAGGTGTGTTAGATTCTTCAGAAAATCAGGCCTGTGCATTTGCTGCCTATTTATCTTTGAACACACCAAGAACTGGTGCATGTTCTTCAGCACAGGTAGCTTGCATTTAGAATATACTCAATTATTAAGGCAGCACAACAAGAACATTATTTGTATTATTTGATTTTTTTTTCCTTGACTTTATTCACAATATTTCAATCGCTTTTTTTTGAAGCTTTGTGTGTTCTTGCATGGTGGTGTGCTTGTGAGCCCTCTTTGCTCTCAGTCTGAGGAGAAATGTCCACTGTGGTCCGTTCCTGCTGTGCTTTAGTTTTACATTTCTAATTTCCAGGTTATTAATATTGTAAGATAAGTCTCTGTCCCCCTGTCTGTAATAGGTGAGCAGTGTGTTTTGCCATTATAGAGGCAAGATTCAAGGGGAGAGATAATCTCTTTTATTAGACCACATGGTATAATTGAGAAAAAATCAACACACTTTCACCCTCAAGAGTCCTTTCACTAGGTTTGTCTGGATGCAGTAAAATTTGAAGTAAATGCAGCTTTGACTATTGCTTCTGGTTTTATTCTTTTAGCCAGTTAGAAGACCTGAAAGTATAGGATTTATTCTCCCATGGAGCAGAAAATAGTGGTAACTGGGAGACACACAACAGGCTGCCAGTTCCTGTGGTACAGAAAGAAAATCGAACCCTTATTCTCTGTGTACAAAGAGAAGTAGGCAGTAGCAGGTTAAGGAGGAAGCATGTAAGGTGCTGTGGAGATAGTATTTTCATTGAGTTCAATGCTTCTGGTTCAACAGTACATCAGACCCAGGTTTAGGAAGCCAGGAAGGTTTCTGTGCGTGGAGGGAGCAGGCATGGGGGTGAGAATAAATGCCTGGGAGGACAGTCACCAAACTGAGAAATGCTGGCTTTCTGGGTTTGTGAAACCACAACCTGCTTTGTTATCACAACACCACAATTACAGGCAAGTCTCCACCTTGATGGGGCTTATTATAATCAATTCTTATGTCACTAATCATTCGCTTTTGTAACTTAGAGAATGCATTAATTTATCATCCATAACTACTAGTTTGAACATTGTCAATGTCAATAAAAATTCACATCCACTTTTACTCTGGCAATAAATTAGTGAGGCTGCTACACAAATAAAATAGATGCATGGACTTCCCTGAGGCCAAACCATGAGTTAGTGATGGTGTTTGGAATAAGACTTTCGTTTTGTCAGAGAGCCAAAGAAAAAGAAATTCTGGCAATGTTGAAGGTCTTAAGTATCTTCAGTGTAGAGAAACCTTTTGCCTGAAACAGGCCATAAACCAGTAATTTGCAGCAGGGTGGTTGTTCACATGCAGATGGGGTACACATCAGGGTAAAGAAAGCAAAGCCTTGTCCGAAGAATGGAGAAGCTGCCATGCTGGATCAGGTATAATGTCTGTCCAGCCTGGTCTCCTGTCTCCAGCACTGGCTGAAAGTAGATGCCTGGGGAAGAATGCAGGAACTTCCCTCAGGTTCTCTCCTGCTCTCAAGCTTTTTCAACCTCCATCAGGACTTCCTGAGCCAGATGTGGTTTCCAGGAATTTATTCCACCCTCAGTAGATTGTTTGGTTTTAATTATTTTTTTCCCTAAGAACCTGTCTGGTCTCCCCTTGAACTAAAGTGGATTTGTTTCATCCTTGCTGTCAAAACCAACAGATTTTGAAGTAATGTTGTGATGACATGTGCAGATCCATCTTCCCAGTCTCATTTGGACCAGAGTTCTGAATAGCATTTTGGCACCATGAGGGTCCCTCCTCTTCTGTGTGGCAGCACTGACAGATTGGGTTGCACCATGGCACTGGCACACACTGTGCTTTCAACAAGGTAGGCAGTGGAAATGCTACTGAATGAAGGAGAAATGATTCATGCTTGAAAAAACATGGAACTGTGTCTGTCTATAGTAAATTAGCATAGTGTGGAGCAGAGATTCCGCACTGCCAGGATCTGTTAGCTCCTGTAAACCAGTTATCCAAATGCTTTAGCTTACGTTTTCTCATGTTGGTGTTAAGGAGCGGTTTTGCCCTGTTAGGACCAGAAACCATTCCACAACTGCGACAGTAACAGCTTCAGTCCCATTTAGTCATTACTGTAAGAAGACAGCTTTATAAAACTCTGAATGTTTCTCAGCAAACAACCTGTCCAAAGTCAAACAGTGAGGGAGCAGCTGTCTTACCTTCTCAGAGGTGACCCAGAGGATCCATGTGGTAATGATGTGCTGGCAGCCAGGTAGTGAGTGTATTTGCTGCTGGATGATAAAATCTGTGCTTGTGAAAACCTGCACTGTTTAACACAGCAAGAACAAATCTGTATCTGGATGCAGCAGGTGAGAATAAAAGACAACGCAAAGTGTGTACGTTGGAGGAAGAGGAACCCAGTATGTGCTGCTGGACAGTACTACCAGGCTTATGTAGCTGGGGAATGGGGGACAATCAGGTATGTTTGGAAACACTGAAAAAGCGCTGTGAATGGAATTCACAGAAATCAATTTGTCTTAACTTGAAGTAGAGCTTCCTCCCACCATTTCAGCGTCTGCTCCCAACGGATCTGCCTTTGGCTGTATGTTTGGAGATCAAGTCTGATGAGGAATGGCTGAGGAACTGGGGTTTAGTCTGGGAAAGAGAAGGCTCAGGGGGGACTTTATCAATCTCTACAACCACCTGAAAGGAGGATGGAGCCAGGAGGTGGCTGGTCTCTGCTCCCAAGGGGCAAGGGGTAGGACAAGGGAAAACATCCTCAGGCTGCACCAGGGGAGGTTTAGACTGGATATTAGGAACAATTTCTTCCCCAAAGGGTGCTCAGGCATTGGAACAGGCTGCCCAGGGCAGTGGTAGAGTCACCATCCCTGGAAGTGTTCACAAACCATGTAGATGAGGCCCTCAGTGACATGGTTTGGTGGTGGCCTTGGCAGTGCTGGGAAACAGTTGGACTTGGTGATCTTAAAGGTCATTTCCAACCTGGTTGATCCTATGATTCGCTGTTTTGTGTCAGCAAAGTTAAGTGCTCCCTGGGAGGGAGGAGGTATTTCTGTGCACTTTCAGCTTGTGTGGTGGCCATTGCAACGCTGGACGTGATCAAGAAGGAGGAGAGCTTGTAGGTCTGTAATGATGGGAGACAGGTCACTCATTTCCAAGCAAATTTCCTTTTTGTGGAGAAATAATGAGAGCATCCTCAGCCTGGGCAGCAGCTGAAGTGTGCTTAATTAATCATAGTACTTTGGCAATGCCTAGAGAATGCTACTGAGATCAGGGCCTGGCACTAGGGGCTACATTTATAACTAACACAGTGCCCAAAGGGCACATAGATCAGAACCATTCTGATGAAAAGATTTATCTCAGTTTTCTGTGTGTGGAGGTGGTGCAGAGGGGAGGTGTCTTATTTGAGCTCATGTTCTGAGTTTGCAGTCAGAGCTGGAAACTAAAGGCACATCTCTGAAATGGGAGCAAAATGTTTCAGCTGCAAATCTACCTTAGTTGTCCTAACCTCCCAGATTGTGTTGCTTCTTGCTGTCAGACACAGGGTTAGCATACACCCACTGCTGATAGACAATGTAAATCATTCCAGTCCTGTGGATCCATTGTAGGCAGCTGCTTGGGTTAACACAGTGGCAAGCATCACATGCAGAGGGAAAATGGCAAATGCTCACAGGCTTCAAATCATGGCTGCTTGTCCACTTCTGCTTTTTGATGGCTCAGTGGCCATAAACCACGGCAGTGCCCAGAGATGAGATTTGAATCCAAAGGTGCAGTGAATTACAGTCTGTTCATTACTAGCATTTTGCCCAATAATCACTTTGTACAGCCTGTCCTGGCTGAGTTCACATTATTTGTAAGAAAACACAACAGGCTGTCAAGCACCTGCAAGCTGCCGGAGCCTCTGTGGCCAGAGCAGTGCAGCACTAATGCTGCAGCAAGCTGAGCCCAGCTGAATTGAGCCCAGGAAATGTAAAGCCATAAACACCTCAGTACCTGCCAGCTCTCCCATCCCTGCAGCTAACTCCTCTGCTTCCTGCCCCCCAGTACATACGGAAATGCTCTGCAGCAATCTGCCACAACCTGCTCCCACACACAGAAACCTGGGGGTTTATAATCTGAAAGTTAAAATAATGCTCCTGCCTTTGGTGCAGAAGCTCTGCTACCAGTGTGGAAACAGCTTTCTCTCCTGTTTAGTCTACAGCACAGTCCACAGCCTGAAGCTCCAGCCCTTCTGCATCCCAGGCTGGTGAGTGTCCCAGGGTTGTGCTACAGGACCTAATCCTGCTGATCCCATAGTCACTAGCTCAAAGAGGTGTGCCTGTCTTAAGTGATGGAGGGATCAAAGTCTGGGCAGTAGCTGTTCCTCCTCTTCCTCCAAATATAAGCAGATAGATGTCCGTAAAATGTCTTTAATGTTGCCACTGGTGGAAGAGCAGCATCCAGCATCTGCAGACTTTCTGTTAGATTCTCTAAGCTCTTCCCCTGCCATTTTTGAGCTCTCCTGTTTCATCATCTCTCCTTATGTGGTATCTTGATTCTCTTTTATATTCAGGATCTCTCTCAGCTTTGTCTTACCAGTAAATTTTAGGAGCACTCTGCTGCATTCTCCTTTTGAGGTAATAATTCCCTATCTAACACTTTATGCTGAGCCTTCTCCTTAGCAAAATCAGTTAAACTCTTGGAGCCATCTTGTAGGCGGGGCAAAAATGTGGTTCCATTGTCATCTAATAATGTGACTTGCAATCATCTCCAAATTTACAGGTTAATGTACTGTAAATTAGAGCAAAAGTCTCTAAAGCTTGATGAGAGATCATCTGTCCAGGGATGATCTTCTAATTTCATCTCCACTGCTGGTGTTATTAGCAACCTGATGGACAGGGGACACTTCTAATTGAAAGACATAAGATCCTTTAAATTGTCTGCCTTGACACAACAGGTGTTTTTTTGGTGACTTCTGGATGGGCTAGCTTTTAGCTACAGCTAACCCAAATCAGTCTGCAAAGGAGATGAAAGGGACCTGTCTTCTATACTTTGGGAGGTGCAAAAGAGGTTTGGCAAGATAAAAGTTGCTTTGTTTTCATGGTAAAAAAAAAAAATAATTATTTAGGTTAGAGAAGTCTGTATTTGGCATTGAGAAAACTAGTGATGAGATAAACAGATGTTGACATCCAATGGTTGCATCTGCTGGGTGCTGAGTGACTGCTGGTGGCTGCAGGAAGCATGGCTGTCACCCCAGCACCCCACATGCAGGATTTCCCCAGTTACATCTCTGCTATACCCATTCCCAATGCCTTCCAGGCTCCTTTCCTAGCACAGGAGACCATGCCAGCACCTTCCCTGTTTCACATAGACTCTACATAGCCAAAAGGAATGAAGCAAGGTGCTCTCTCTTTACAGTGAACTACAACCCTGAGGTCTCCACCTCCCTCTTCAGACCTACGCATCCAGCTGTCAACAAGAAGTTCTCACGGTTTGCTTTGGCTCTGTGTAGGTTTCCTATGAGATGCTGGTTGCTGCTGGAGTATCAGAAAGGATCTGAGCACAGAGGCTTACCACATGGAAAAGATGGGCTTCTGTTCTCTGTATACCAAATCAGAGGAAGGAATATGCCATGCCACAGAATTAATTGGGTTGGAAGGGACCTCTCGAGATCATCTAGTCTGACCCCTGTGCTCAAACAGGAGGTTTGATGTCCGTATCCAGTTGGGTTTTGAATATCTCCATGGATAGAGACTCTACGACATCTCTTGGCAGCCTTCTTCCAGTGTTTAGCCACCCTCACAGTGAAAAAAAAAAGTGGTTTCTTGTATTCAGATAGAATTTTCTGTTTTGTAATGTGTCCCTGCCCATGGCAGGGTGTGGAACTAGATGATCCTAAGGTCATTTTCAACCCAAACCATTCTATGATTCTATTGCCCCTTGTTCTATCAAAACTGTTGTACTAGCATAAGGTAGCTCTGGAAATATCAACCTGACTGGAATTACTGCTAGCATTACCCTCTTCTCCCTTCTCCTGAGCTTTGAGGCTTAGCAAGGGGGGTGACCTTACCTGCATTGCGATCTCATCCTTTCACTGGACCAGTCCTCTAAAATATAAACAGAACTATGCCTTCATTGTCCCTCAGTGTTAACCCTGAACCAGGCTTTATGGTGATTCTCTTTGCTCTTGCAGGAAGAGCTGGTGTACGGATTGTGGGAACAATGCAAGGTGGAGGTACAGAGGAAGATGTAAGTAACCATCCCATGTGCCTGTAGAGCTTTTCTGAGTGCTTTAGAATGAAATCCCTCTCCTCAGCTAGAGAAACATCTTTTTACCTGCTGAATCTCCATCCCCCAGGCCTGCTTTTCCCTCCTTTCCTCTAGCTGACAGCTTGCTCATCTGCATAATAGCACATTTTTCTGTTTTGTTTGCTCTTGCAATCCCTGCCCTGTGCTTTACCCTCAGCTTGCAGTGCATAACTAACAGCTCATGGCCTGCAGGAATGCCATGGATCAGGAAGCGGGGGTTAGTGGGCAGGTTGTGAGCTAGCACAATTCCAGAGTCCCAAGGAGAAGGTTAAAAATGAGAAGGAAGTGGATGAGGGAATGCACTTGTATAGGACATAAAAACAGTAGGAAACTCCCACTGTTTGCCACAGCCGTCTGGCAGTGTTGAGTTAGCCCTGCAAAGCTCTGCACTGACTATTTCTCCTTCAGGCAGGGCCAGAACAGAGAAAAAAACAATGCCACCGAGCGTTCATTGCAGAGACCTGGAGGCACTAGAGCAATAAGGCAGCTAATTCTCCTACTAGAGAGGGATGAGCTGCCCTTTCTGCCTGCCACCTTTGCTCTGGAAGGGAACGTGCAAATCATGCTCTGCTGTTCGCTTGGGCCACATGGATGTTGTTAAGGCTGTTTGATGCCTTCTGGGGAATGATTTATGCCCTTGGAATTCAGACCCAGTTCTGGGTAGGGTCAAGAGTGACAGTGCTGTTGGCAAAGATGTTGTGACCTCTGTCACAGTGCTGCCCAATGGTCCTTGACCATGTTCTTGCCAGATTTGGGTAGTCATCCTCTGCAGTTTCTCTTCCCTTTGGACTTTCCTGTTCGCAACTTTTGCACATATCTCTCTGACACAGCCCTGGCATATCCAGGTGTGGAAAGCCAAGGCCTTCAGACTCTTCTTGCCCTCAGCTGCAGCCACTTCAGTTGTCTCATGGCTCTGACCTCTTAATACAGCACCTCAGCAGGCCCTGATGTTGAGAGGCTTTGCTTAGGGACCCTTGCAGGCATCCACGTGTCTGAGATCAGGGAAGGAACCTAGGGAGGCTGGTTTGAACCCCTCCAGGAGTTAACTGGGTTGTGGAATTGAGAAGAGAGGAGGCTTCAGCCTATCTAAGAGCCAGCAGCCATATGCCCAGCCTCTGCCACTTGTTGGTGTGGGATATGATGCCTGAGTTGTGCCTGGCTTTGCTGCCCTCTCCCCTGCTCCCATGCTGGTTTCTTTCTGTTTTCTTTCATGTTTTTGTACTTTCCACCCCCTACTCTGCCTCCCCTGGTTTTTGCACTCTGGTTCTCCAAGGGGAGATCTGCCTCAGGCACACCCAAGATCATCGCCAAGGCACAGGTGGGTTTCTCTCTTGTAGTTCATTTTCATTCACTGCACCTTGACTTTTCAGTCTCTCAATAAGTATTACTTTAAGCACTTTGCAAAGTTTTTAATACCAGATTCAGCAGAAGTCAGGGAGTTCATTTTTGTTAGCCCTGTGAGGTGGGGAAGGAGGTTGGCAATCGATGAAGTGAAGCAGCCACTGTCTAGCAAAATGGGGAGCTGCTGGTGAAAACCCTGTGGGCCATTAGCTGAGCTCTGGCTCCTCATTGTTTTGGAAGGCCAGCAGCACACAGCAGCCTGAGCTGGAACAAAAACTCTTGCAGAATCTGCTGCTGTTCCCTGAAGTAAGTCTAAATCTGGATTCACACAAGTCCAGACAAGCAGCCTTCCCATAGTCTGTGGGTATGTGATAAGAGTGCAGGGGAGGAAGCAACTCAGCATCAACTAGCAGTGCCATCCTTTACTTCTGAGATGGCAAAGACACCTTGCCATCTGAGATCTGAACTGGGTTTGAACTCTGCTTTCCTACAGGAGGACTCGGGGGATAGCGAGATTGACCTGGATGAAGATGAGGAAGACGATGATATGGAAGACAAAAGCATAGAACTCTCACCAAGAAAATTTGTTCTCCAAGCAAGGAAGCCAGAGCCACTGGAGGAAAGTGATAATGACTTCTGAACCTGTAGTAGTAGGACCAGGAGACATCTTGAAATACAGACTTTGGAGAGCATGCAAGCCAGGAGCTAATATCCCACCATATTTTCAGCATGAATTCAGGAGTCTTTAAATAGTGTTCATTAAACTTGAAAATGAAACTTGGATTGCCAGTCCTGGGACTCTCAAATCATGAGCAACTTATCTGTAATGAGAATCACAGTAATGTGGAGTGCAGTTATATCCGTAATTGCAGTAGAACTGGTCCTCATGCATTGCAGTGCCAAAACTCACTCTCCAGAGAGCATCATGTGCTCAATTTCCGTGCCTTTTATTATGTCCAAACAGATTTTTTTTTGGCTTAATAGAACTGGATGAAAAGCTGCTCTGGGAATACATTTAAATTGTTTTAAAATTTGGCTTAAATCTATTTATCCTAAACGTATCTTTTACTTAATTGAGAGCTTTGTCTCCACATAGAGCAGCACCAGTTAGGCTGAAGGAGTGAAATTAAAACCGGAAAGGTAGTGAAGAGTTCCTCAAATACCACCCTCAGTGCAGCATCATTCTGTATTTCAGCTGTGTTGGTGGGAATTGTTCTCAAACTTCAGTCCCTGTGTGCTCTGAGAGACTGTGCTGTAACTTAATCTGTATTGAATTATCCCCTTAATTATTCTGGTACTTCTGGGGTGGACTCAGATTTCGGCACTCAAATGGGCCAAAACTTGGGCTTTTGTTCAGTAAGTCGTAGTGATGCTATCAGTGAAGATCCATTCAGTTGAACACAAGGGCTGGAGTTCATCTAGTGTGTTTTCTCTGCTTTAGCATCACATTTTGTCTTCACAGGAGCAGAAATCAGGGCTTGATTAGAAGAGTTCTCTTTGGTGTATATTCAAGAGGGTAGATGAGAGTGTTCTGGCTGTCGTCTGCTCTTCCCTTTTCTTGCATCAGCAAAGTACTTTGCTGTCCCCTCCATCTGAAGCCTAGAGGCAGGTCCACCCCCTCCATTACCACGCCGAAGGAAAGAATACACGTGAGTTACTTGAAAACCCAAGAGCTTTTTCATCTCTCAGTGTCGTTGAACCCAAAGGTGGAACCATCACACCCAAGGCAGTTCTCCATCAGCAGAGCTCACAGCTTGAATTGGCATGTCAAGCTGGGACAGAAGTTTACAGGTGAATGCAACACAGGTTTTGTGTAGTGATGGGACACACATGGGTGCAGTGATGTGCTGAAACACACACAGTCCTACAGGCTGGAGCTAAACTGGCTGGTGTTAGGGCACTTCCTTGTACTCTACAAAGTTAATTGGCATTTTTCACCTCACTTCAAAGAAAGCAGACACAGCAGATAGTGCTTTACCCCTCCTGCAGAACCGTTAGGGTGGTGCTGTGACAGTCAGGGAGGAGGTGGTTGCACTCACCACATGCCTCTCCCAAGGGTTAAGTATGTCCTGATTTTTAGGACCTGGTCCAAAAACATTTCTCTGTGTTATGCAGGAAATCTGGTCTGGTCCTCCCTGTGAGCTGAGATATATCTGACCTGTGAGACTTCCCATGAAACTGGGCCCAGTGCCCAAGTCTGCATTGCAGTTTCAGAACTAGTTTTCCATGTTATTCCCTTTATTGTAGGGTGAAACAGAACACTGACTTAACACCTTGTGCGCCCAGAACCAGGGTACATGTCACCTGCCTTCCAGAACAGCCACCAGGTTCAAGCCATGGTTAGCATTGAGCTTTCCTCTTGGGATTGTCTGTGCATAGCAAGGTGTACACATAGGTGGACAGACCCATGAAATCTATTTCAAATTGTTGTTAACTCCTTGTTTTCTGGAGCTCCAGGACACAGGAGCTGGCTTGGCATTGTTGACCACTCTCTCTGTTAGTGTTTTAGGTAAGGTTCCAGCTCAGGGTTAGGCACGGGCTTTGCACAGAGCTGGACCCGAGCCTCAGCCTGTCCTGAAATAGTGGTGAAAGAGGTGGGCAGGACTTAAATCACTCCATGTTACCATGTTGGAGTCTGTGGAAAAGCCATGAGCCTCATGTCACACCAGCACAGGGGAAGGGTACGCAGCCAGGGCAGCGGAGCACAGTGCACCCTGAATGGAATGGAATGGAAAGGAACAGAAGGCTGCCCACAACATCTTCTCAGCTCAGAACCGATTTATTCCCAAATATGTACACATTGCCACTCTCAGCTCGGCATTTCTCCAGGAGGTTTCTCCACAGAGGTCCCTGAGTGGTCTGAGTCCTGCTCAGTCCCTGAGCCCTGAGTGCAGCAGCAGTGTGTCACAGTGTGGGCTCTGGTTGGGGTGCAGTAGGGAGAGGGGACAGTGGCTGGAAGGGGCTCAGGGGGCAGTTGCATAGTTTGGCTACTGGACCACCTGCAAACCTGGCACCTTCTGGAGGGTTGCTGGGTCTCTGCCACGTACATGAACGCATCACCCAGCACCTCTGCTTTCAGCAGCTGCCTGTCAGAAAGGTGACCTGCTCGGGATGGACCCTGCCTGCAGCTGGGACATTGGGAAGATGCATCCCCGCATCCCAAGGTCACACTGATGACACAAGCACAAGACCGAAGAAGTGCAGCTTGAACTTGAGAGGCAGAACTTCGTATTAAAGCAGTCCCGGTGCAGCACCAAGACACGTGTGCTGGAGACAGCCCATGTCATGCAGTGCTGTTCCTCTTATATTCACCCTCCCACTCCTCCTCCCACTATCATGAGGGCTCTTCATTTCCCAAGGTTTTTCTAGGTGGTTCCATGCATGTGCCTTGGGATGCTGGTCTCTTTGATAGAGAACAGCACTACCAAGCACTTCAGGCATGCTTGGCCAGCACCAACCTGTTATTGAGGGCAAATCGCACAGGCTGCACTCACTGCCTATGATCTGCTCTGAAGTGCCTGGGTCCATAGTATCACTCTCATCTGAGCAAGGAATCAGCAAACCTCTCCTTGTCTCTCTGGGATTTCGCAGGAACCTGCAGACTGGGCTGTATTTCGGCAGGTGAGAAGAGGCTGCTGTGAATCCTGCCCAAGTTTCACCTCATCCTCCTGGGATCCCTGCCAGAAGCAGATAGAGAAGAACTGGTGCTGAGAGCAGAGTCCTGGAGCCCTGGCTGCAACGTTTACCTGCAGTGCCTCAGGCTGGGGCAAGAGCAGAGCTCTGAGTGGTCAGGATATGCCTGGTGTGAGAAAGAGTCTGCGCAGAGCACTGTAACCCAATGGAGATCACAGGAGGGAGTCCCTGGCACCAGGGTGGTGGTAAGTCACCCATGAACACAAGAAGGGCTGGTGTGTGGGATCTGCCCCCTGCTCCCTCCTTTTTGCATTGCACCCCTTCCTTGAGACTCCCCCAGGGCCTGGATGAGCAGGGACATGGCATATATCCCTCAGCTTTCAACACAAGTGAGTCTTGACCCTCCTGTGCTGCTGATCCAGAGGCTGTGGTCCTCCTGGGCTGTACCAGGTAGCTCAGGAGCTCTGCTCAACCCAGCTCTCCTCCCTGCGACAGGCAGACAGGGCCCAGGCAGCTCCCTGTAAATCCATGCTGGCCAAAGGAACCACTGGGTCACCTCCTGGCTGCAGCCAGGCACCTCACACATCCACCACGCAGCTGGGGGAGTTTGTCCGGATGGCATCGGAGATCATCTTGGCTCCCGACTGGCCAATGCGGTTCCCCTGCAGGCTGGGAACAAAGAGGAGTTCAGGCTTGGACATGAGGCAGAGCAGGATCCTTGATGTGTATGAGAGATGTTCCCAGCTTTACACCAGCATCCAGCATCATCTGTACCCTCCCCATACCACCCACGGGCTATTCTGGAGAAAGGCTCTGGGAGGAGCTGAGCCAGACCATTCTTGTGATATTTTAGGGTGTGTTTTGCTTTTGGGTGGTTCTTTGCCACAGAGGCAGCCGCAGAGAGGGACTGGGAAGAAATAAGCTGAGTGGGTATGGTTCCTGGGAGGAGCACAATGTGTCCTTTCTCTTTCCCCACTGGGGAGGTCCCTGTTGGGCAGCTGGGAATGGGCAGTGCCAGCAGTGAGGAAGCTCCTGTGACGCTTCCTGTTGTCTCTCCCATCCTTGCCTCACCATCCAATGCAGTGGCCACTTACTTGATGTAGGTGAGGCCGTGGTTTCCCTTCAGAGCAGTGGCAATGCAGATGGCTCCGTCCATGCCCAGGGAGTTTTCCTGCAGGCTGCAGGAAGCGGGAGGGTCAGAAAGCACCAGCCAGGGAGATGTGGCTACCAGGAGGGAATGCATGTAGTGGGCATTGGGAAAAGCCCTCAGCTCAGGGGTTTGCCTCACTGAGAACTGCTGGCCTCCAGGAAGGTCTGGAAAGGCTCTCTCTGGCTCACCCCAGGGAGCAGGATACTCACTTGAGCCAGCAGAGGCTGCGGTTCACCTTCAGCGCATCGGCCATTGCCTTGGCCCCAGCCACCCCAATGGAGTTTCCCCTCAAGCTGCAGAGAAAGGCAGGTGGTGAGGAGTGACAGCCGTGGGGGGCAAGAGGAGCTGGGAGACGTGTCCCCATGCCAGCAAGTCAAGGGACAAGCCAAGTCTGGTAGGACATGATGCAAGGATGCTGAGCTAAGGACCAGGGTCCTGGACACCTCCAGGGAGCAGTGTCACAGCCATGGGGACTTGTTGGCCCCACCGAGCACTTACTCCAGGATCTGCAGGCTCTTGTTGACCATCAAAGCTTCTGCCAGGGCTTGGGCACCAGCCACACCAATTGAAGCCACCTGCAGGCTGCAAGAGAGCGAGGACCTTCACTACATATGGTGAGGGGGCCATGGTGTGTTAATTGGACAAGCTAATTAGACAGCCTGCAATGCCAGGCCCCTGCCACAGCCCGGATACTCACTGCAGATGTGCCAGGGTTGTATTGAGCTTCAGCGCAGCAGAAAGAGCGACCATTCCCTCATCTCCAATGGCGTTCTCCTGCAAGCTAAGACATGCAGGTGCCAACCTGCCCATGGTCCAGGCACCCAAGAGCAGGGAGAGGGGCAGCAAGACAGTGCACAGTGTACTAGGCTTTCCTAAACAGCATGGGGGACCCTGGGCCACATGCACTTAGAGCATCCCCAGCCAGGTACAAGTGATGGAGACACAGGATGGACTGGAGCACGTGGAAGAGGCAGCAGGCAAAACCACCTCCCCTGGAT